AAAGAGAATGAAAAGCATATGCCAAGTTGTAACAAGGCACAAGTGGAGTTTTCATCTTAACTAGGAGTAACCTGTGAATCATTCATGCTTGCCTGATGGTAGTTACGATTTATTCTTTGCAGGCTGAAAATATTGACGGCCAAATGATCACAACACTTTTGTAGATCTGATTTTCACTGGGCCAAAATACAGCATATTATTATGGGACACAGCCAAATACTTTGCTGGTAACCTTGCTTCATATTAAACTATGTAATTAGTTCAGGAAAATTATTCAATATACCAATTCAGAAAATTTAAATGTTACAAATGGTCTTAGTGTCACTTTCCAAAAACAAAGTTTTGAAAGCAATTATGTACAACAAACTTAAAAAATAAGTGCACTATCACACAACTGCCCTACAGTTAGGACATGTTATAACACTTTGGAGAGAAGGGAAATCATCTTGTGCTGAAACCTGCTAAATTAGGCTTCAGCTTCAAATACATATTTCCAATTTGAATAGAGAGTTCAAAGTCTGATTTTATATATTACAAAATTAGATCAGAAAGAAACTGGGCCAATAAAGGCAGACAAATACAAATCAAATACATTATTTGGAATTCCAAATATAATACCTACCTTTTCAATAGGACTTCAACATGTAACAGGTTACACTGTAGAAGATAGGATGGACTAAAACAGAAAGTTCTGTATAAATAAGATTGCAAGGATCATACAGCCTACATAGTGACATAAAAATATGCTTTCTCTATGTATAGCAGTAATAGCTATTACAAAAAACTATGAGAGCATGTTTTGGCTAAAAAAAATAACTTCAAAATAAATGTATTCTAGTCATTATCATTCCAATCCTTATTGGCAAGATGGCTATCATGAACACGTTTACATATGTGCTTAATTATAAATGCAAAAAAATCCCCCTCAGCTTCTACTGTAGGACTACTCATATATAAAATTAAACATAAGCATCTGCAAGTCCAGTGGCTTAAAAAAAAAAAAAAAGTATACATGCGAATTACGTAACTGTGCCCTGAAAAGAATACAGGTAAGCATAGGCTTAAATAATAACTGGTGTTTAATACACAGGGATTTGCTTCTGCTCATGATTACCCTCTCCAGCACGGTTGGTCAAACTCACCCTGCCTCACAGGCAAGATTCGGATGTGGCACTGGCAGGGTGAGCAACATGGGAGTTAAGGCTGTCATTGTTTGTACCCTAGTGCTGACATGTGTCCCCAAAAGGGCTCCATACCTGCAATTTGAACACCAGGCTATGCCCCCAATCACCCCACCCACAAATTCCAAGCCTCCATGGAAGCCCATGGGCCAAAACAGTTTTCTGGACCAGATCTGCACATTTGACACCCCTGCTCTATAGCAATCACCAAACAGCTACTGAATACAAGTTATTGTAGAATTACAATAATTAACAGAAGAATTATGATACAATAATTAAGAGGAGAATTAACTCTTACCTAAAGATCATTGGAAAGCAATCAATACCAATATACTGTACAAACACCAAGTATGATAGACATGCCAAAGAATCCACAGAATCATTTCTATCTATATCCAAAAATTCATGATTATCCCAGTTCTGACTGTGGCTTCCATGTGAAAATACTGCTGGTGTGAATTCTCCTATATCCGATAAAATGCCCTGTAAAAAGAAAGGTCAATGACATAGAGCTGCTTTATAGAAGAGAAAACAATAATTTAAGCTTCAAACTAGGAGTCAAAGGTAAAATGATGAATATAGTAACATATCTACATACTGGTTATACATTATTCCTGAAAATAGTTTTGTCTATATGTATATTTAACACAAAAGTAGGTTAAAGGAGTATCACAAAAGTTGCGAAGTCAAGTATTCAAAAGTTGTGAAATGACATAATTACGGTTGCTCTATGTAACCATTATTTGGTCCCTTCTGTATGTGCATTCTGAAAATAGCAGCAATAATTATGCAATCAGTCACATACTAGTATTTTCACAGGACCACTGCAGAAAAGTCATTTAATAGTCAATACTGAATTTGTTCAATACGTGTCATCACTGTTCAACGTGTAATCCACAACTCAATTCAATTCAAACCCTGCCCCTAAAATAAAGTCATTAATCTCTTCACATTTTTTAATGCTTACTACTACAGCTTTTGAGTATCTCACAAATATTCATCAATTTATTTTCACAAGGTGTAGTGAGGTGAGGTGACACACCTCATAGAAAATGATAAATTCTCATTTTATTGATGCTGAGCAAGACAAAAATAGATTGAAGTCAATCCAGTAGTTCTGGACTGCTCAATTTGAACACCCAGGACCTCACTTTGCATTATACTGGTATTAAACACCCTTTATATGTTCAAAGCAGAACTCCCATTAACTAATCATAGCTGTAGATGTTTGGCATTTCTGCAAATCAAGTATCAGAATCTCAAGTAAGATACCCAGCAAATGAATATACAAAGCTACATTTCACCAGATGTCCAGCATCAGACAGGAACCATGTGGCAGAGACAGGGATATGTGTGGTCCAATTCTCCACAGCAGTATTCAACTGTCTTAACCATGAGACCCCTCTTGTGGCAAGCCCTTGCCTCATTTATTATACACTTTACAAATGCAGCATTGGTCTTGCAGATAAGAATATCCTTCACTGCACAACCCTGGCTTTTCTCCAGAGCAATTCCATCTTGTGCTCTGAATGAGACAAGCATTCTATAGAAAAATAATAAAGGACCATGCAATTGAAGATTGTATCACAATGTATAGACATGGAGGGGCCGAATTAAGTTTGAACAGGCAGTATCAGTTCTGGCATTTTCTTACTTTTGAATGCTTTATTTGGCAACACTTAAACAAACAAAACAAAACCAGCCTCCTACAAAAACCAAAAGCCCCATGTTAAAAACAATCTGAAGTGTCCTAGATGTTAAAAACAAACTGAGGAAACAGAAGCTGCATCACATGGTAACATATTGACATTCACATGGATCACCAGCAGGGTTGGAACTTTCGAATCCACCAAAGAGATCTCTATCTGAACTAACACACTACTTAAAGTAGCACATTGTCTTCCTCTATATGGATCAGTGCCAAAGGATTGCCAGTGGATTTCACAGACAGCTGATAAGAACAGAGGAATGGGAAGACTCAAAACTGGTGATTTCATTCCCAGTCTGAAGGAAAGTATTCTCTGGGCTCGGATTCTTCTGTCCCTTCACCTCAAGTTTGACCCATTCTGTCCCATCCCTCCCATGTCTTAGTCCTAGTCCTATCCCCTCCCTACCTCCATCTCCTTTTCTCAGTCTCCATTCCTCAGACTTCTTGTGCCTGTCCTAGTATCTCCCATTGGACCTCAATATAATATCTACAAGCCTGCTTGCAGAGTCATTACTATTCTCCCTTTTGTGGTTCCTAATATATACCCTCTCCCTTCACCCCATGACTCTAGTCTGCAGTAGCCCTTACATACACCTCCCTTTCCAGCTGACACCTCAGATTCCTTCCTTATGTTCCTTATTAAAGTTCAGTTTTGTTTAGGGGTACGCCAATAAAGATTTCCTTGGCCGATACCAATAGCCAATTATTCACCAGGCATATCGGCTGATACCAAAGCAATAACCAGGTACAGCCAGGCAGTGTGAGCACTCTGCAGATAAGTCTAAGAAGGGGAAGGGGCGGGGAGGGAAGAAAGGGGAGCTGGGATGCCAGATCGAGAGGCCCCCACAGTGAGGAAGGTACTGTGGCAGGGGCTGGGGCGCTGCCCAGCCAGGGCAGTGAATGAGATACTGGGGCAGCTGCATGCAACTTGGCATTTTTAAGCCGATACCTTGGCATTTTTAAGCCAAGGGATCAGCGTCCCAGCGCTTAAAAATGGTGGCTGGGGCTCTTGAACTAAATCTTGAAAAATGAGCTTTAGTTGAAGCACCGCAGCCACAATTTTAAAGTGCAGAGACGCTTTTAGGAGCGGAGCTGAGTGAAGCAAGCGTGGATGCAGGCTGCCCGCTGTGGGCTCTCTGCACTTTGCTCCAGGAGCTATGCACCAGCTATGCATCCCCTGCCCACCCGGCAGCGGGAGACACAACTCGCTGCCACTACTGCTCCACAATCCTTCCCCTCCACAGACTTATCTGCAGGGCACTGCTCTCCATGCTGCACAGCTGCATTCTTGGCCACATGCATGCTGCAGCCGCATGGAGGCATGTGACGTCCAGGGGCCCTGGATAGAAGGCATATTTATCGGTACATTACTGGCTACACCAGTCAAAAAAAGCTGATAATGTTAATTTTCCTTTTATCAGTGCCAACCCAATATGGCACCAATATATCGGTGCACCTCTCGTTTGTTACCCTTCCCAAGTTGCCTCCTTGACTAAGTCTATTTGTCTGGCAATCCCAGTACTCTCTTGAACCTTAGCTTTTTATCAGATCTCTCCCCTCTCTCCCACTCCAGTTTCTAGTCCCAGTTTCCCTGCCACAGCACTCCCAGGCCCCTTGCTCAGCCAGTCCAAGTTTCCTCCAACCTCCTACTACCAGATCCAGTTTGCAGTAGCCCAGACATAAAACTACAAAATGAGTCCTACACAGTCCCGAGCATAGAACATTCCCAACATGGGTGAAATCAAGGAGAAATTTAGCTTCAAAGCTCCAATATGTCTAAGTTGCACCATGGGCAAACCCAGCTTTTGGAGGTTTAGAACTTGGCCAAACATGGGTAGGTTTTTATTGGGATGACAAAAGGCATTCCCTGATACCAAGGCTACCCTTGAATTTCAAGTGTTGTTTCATAGCACTTGAGTGCTGGAGGTTCTCAAAGCAAAAGTCATCAGAATTTTTTGGTGTTTGCAAAAAAAGTAATCTCCCTATAGACTCTGTAATTTCCTAAGAAGATATTAATGAAAAATATTCATCCTAAATAGTTAAAAAGTTTGGCAACTGTAAAAGGGGTCTTAAAGTGAGAAATGTTGGACAATGCCTAACATTTTTATACAGCAATTGCTGAGACTGAAAAGAAGTATGCACATAATCAAAATGCATTTTAGCTAAAAACTATAATGGACATTTATCCAGATCAGAAAGCCACTGATGTTGAGAGATGCTAAAAGCAAATATAAATGAGCATCTGTACACATGCTTGCGCTGCAGTGCCAGGTGCTTTTAAAAGTGCCCAGAGCTGAGGCACATGCAGTTGTATAAGTGGCAAAATGCATGTCAGCACTGAGAAAATGGCAGCAGCACACTTCTGAACTAAAACACCTCAAAGGTGTTTTAGTTCAAAAGGGCACCGCCACCATGTTTTGTGATTAATTGAGTCTGCTCCAATCCGTTGGGTCTCCAGCACGTCATGGGATGAAAAGGTATGTGTATAAATACCCAATAATGTCTATTAAATACTTATAGACTGGAAAGTCTAATGGCACTAGTTGAGAATAATGGCATTATAATTATCTACCTTATAAATTTCCTGAAGCTTCATTTTGTAGGACAAGTTTAGAATGTCACTTATGTATGTATTTAAAAACTACAGAAGTCACTGAGACTTGAGCACGTGTGTAATTTTAAAGGGATAAGTATGTGCTGTTCTTAAAAGAATATAATTTTCACTTTATGCAAAACAGGACTGGCTTAGATTTTTATAACTCAGCTCTACCTACTCATATCCAGTTTTTTTTTTAAATAAAAACACAAGGGCTACAGTGAATAAAGCAAATTAAAAAAAAATCAAATGTGATATTAACTTCAGTTACTCAGTGATCTCAACGATTATCTCCTCACAGGGCTTCTCTTTGCTTTAGTGTTAGCTTGGATTCTCTATATTTTAGTTAATACCTCCCAAGCTAATCTTTTTTTTTTTTTTTTAAATAAATGTAATAACATTGCCAAGCACCCAAGTAGCAGAGAGCACTATATGACCAATGTGGAGTGACTAAATACCCACTGCCTTACTAGCCGGGGCATCAGCAACATTTAGGTGTCCATCAACCTCCCCAAACAGGCCAGATAGCTTGAGTTTAAGGCACTGTTGAATTAAAATGAAAGATTTGTGTGCGTACAACAGTCAGTCTACGAAAACTTTTGAGTTAGAGCTTGAGCTAACAGTGCAGTGAAAACAAACCCCTAGAAGCCCTAAAGGCTGGTATATCACTAAACAGTGGATCAGCTGCAACAGAGCAAAGGGTACTGATTACATGGAGAGCAGCAGCCCAAAGCAAATCATAAAGACTGAATTTGTTCCATTAACTGCAAGTCATTTCTTGTACAACACCTGGCAGACTTTAAAAGCCAAGTATTGTTGGCCCTAGAGATTTTACACTTTTCTGGGTTGTTACCTGAGTCAGTTCTATCTTACAGGATCCCACAAGTCATCTTACTAATCAAAACAGGAAGCCAACTGATTTCTGAGACATTAAAATGAATACCGGACTATAGTGACTGATTTTGCAAATCACTATAATTCATTTGACTGCACTTACTATAATTTCAGCTGCAAAATGCCTTAAGGGATGTTCTTCAATATCTTCAAGCTGATCAAGTTGTGCTGTTAATAAGGGGTATTTCAAGCTTTTCAAACAACTGAAACAAAAGGGGTCGACTATAATTAGAAGCTTTCAAGAAAAACACTACTATAGCCACTAATACAGAATGTTATGATGCCACTAGCATCCAGGAGGCCTGAAACTGCCACTCCCCCCCCCCTTGCTGCTGTTTCTCATGGTGGGTCTCCCATGAAAGGATCCAACACCCTGGCTTTTCTTTTTTCCTGTTCTGATACCTAGTGGCCCCACTTGAACCTGTTATCTCCAAAACGGGATATGCCTCACTCTATTGTAAGTTATAGGAGTACTATCACAAGGGACAGGAAGTCTAGTCAATGTCCTTGTCAATCTCCCTAGTAAGGGAATCTTGCCTTTTTCCACTAGTTCACGGATACAGAAGGTTTTTGTTGTTTTGTTGTTTTTAAAGAGCTGTAGGTTATTTCATACCATTATAAAAATATGGATACACCGTAACTTATTCAATGATTCTGGATGCAATTTCCCTTGATCATTTTGTTCCATTATACATCTATTTTAAACAGAATAAAGAGACTCACAATTTAAGCAATTCTTCCTTCAGCTCTCTCTCACCACTTTCTGATGTTTTCATATTTTTAACAACTTCATCCACAAAGGGTTTAGTAAAATCCACTACTGCATTGCAACACTGGCAGAGATGAAGCTTATCTTCTTGTATTTGGTCTTTTGTGTAAGGTACAGGGAGGAGAGATAGCTGATTTAAAATTGTAGACAATGATAGGCCTACTGAGTATGATTTCTTGCCATGAAGTTTCAATATCACTGAAACAAAAAGTTTTTAGATATCCAGTTATCTACTACCTGCTAGGAAAAATTAGTATTAGAGATATGTGACATGTTAATGTCTTCTGAAATACACCAAAACGTTTTTTTCTGCTGCAGTAGATCCTATATTTGAGAACAGGCAAAGGGGTTAGGTGTTAAGAGTTTTGTGACTAAAAAATATTAATACCTGCAACACTATGAACGGGTACACAGCACTGAAAATCTGTACCTTTTAATTTTGGAGCATGGGAAACACCAGCACAACAGAGTTGATTATTGCAAAGAAACTGTATACTGGCATCCTACACAATTAACATACAACACATCTTTCTGCCATAAAGCATAGGCAAGAACTGAATATACAAGCCTTCACAAACCTGGTCCAATAGAACAAGTATTTATAGGCCTGAATGCATCTGCCTAGAGCAGGGGTAGGCAGCGTTTTTTGGCCGGAGTGCCAAAAAACACCACAATGCCTACCTTGGAAGGTGCCGGCATGCCAGAAAAACAAAATGAGGGCAGGGGGTATATAGCAGGATGCCCTGCCTGTACCCCTTGCCCCACACTGAAAGCCCCTGCCCCCAGCCCTGCTGCCCCTTGCCCCCCATCCAAAGCCCCTGCTCTATGGCTGTCAGCAGCCCAGCAGGGCTTGCAGCGTCACAGCTACATGCTGGGAGCAGCCTGGGATCCTGGCTGGCAGCAGCTACCCAGAGCCGGCACCCACGCCTCGGAGCGGGCGGTAGGGAGGAGCCTGACGCAGTGCAACCCCGGTCTCTCCCCCACTCCCGGCAAAGAGCTGGTCACTGGGCTCCAGAGCCCGACACAGCTGTTTGTAGCCAGCCTGGGCTCTGGGCAGCTGCAGCAAGCAGGCTGCAAACAGCTGCGCCGGGCTCCACAGCCCCGGCATCAGCTCCATGCTGGTGGCATCTGCACGCACACCGAGGTGCCCGTGCAGTCACTGCCAACATGGAGCTGATGCCAGAGCTGTGGAGCCTAGCGCAGCTATTTGCAGCCTGCCCTCTGCTTGCTGCAGCTGCCCAGAGCTCAGGCTTGCTACAAACAGCTGCGCTGGGCTCCAGAGCCCTGCCATCACCTCTGTGCGGGGAGTGGGGGAGAGACCGGGGCTGCGCTACCTCAGTCCCCTCCCCCACTGCTCGCTCTGAGGCATGGGTGCATGCACTGGTACAGAGCTGATGCCAGGGCTCCAGATCCTGGCGCAGCTGTCTGGAGCCTCCTGGCTGGAGGCCGGGCCCGGTCCCGGGGAGAG